TTTTTTTTTTTTTTTTTTTTTTTTTTTTTTTTTTTTCTTTTTTTTTATGTTTTTGAGACAAGGTTTCTCTGTGTAGCCCTGGCTGTCCTGGAACTCACTCTGTAGACCAGGCTGGCCTCGAACTCAGAAATCCACCTGCCCACCTGCCTCTGCCTCCCGAGTGCTGGGATTAAAGGCATGCGCCACCACTGCCCGGCGAGGCCTTGTCTTAAAAAACAAGAAAGGGGGTGGGGGGAGACAGACAGACAGACAGACAGACAGACAGAGGCAGACAGAGGCAGAGAGAAAGAGAGAGAGAGAGAGAGGGAGAGAAAGAGAGAGAGGGAGAGAGAGAGAGAGAGAACCAACCCAGAAAGAAACCGAAAAATAACAAAAATCTCCTTGCTACAGAGTGATTGGTGTCAGTTGTTTGACTGTATCTCAAGGGATCCTATTACTGCCCAAACCTCTGGACTGAGGAGAGCCCTCCCCTGGCTGGAGCTGCAGAGCGTTGCTCTTTTATTTTGTTTCTCATTGGCAGAATATCCCTCTGCCTGATAATAAATGAATTCACTACAAGGGCTGAAATATTTCTCTTAAACTTGTCTCTTCCTAGTTCCAATGCCATCTCGAAGAAGGAGCATTAATGGCATAGGTTTTAACAGCTTAGTTTTTTCTTTGTCACATTTTATCTCTAGGAATATGCAGCAAAACTCAGCCAGCAAATACAAGCAACAACAAAAATAAGGCCAAGTGGTGAGATAGCCTCAGAATAGCAAGTGGCCAAGCCATCCATGCCTAAAGGCTTCCCTGACATCAGAGATGCCAGAGGTGGGGGAGCAGCAGGGACTTGGGAAGGCCAGTGTGCTCATGCAGACTCTCCAAGCCCCTCAAAATTCCCACCAGGCCTATTTGGAAATCCTGATAGGCCATTTGGAGAACAGCAAAGCCCAGCAGATGACATCACAGGCTCCACCTCCACAGAGTGACACCACAGAGAGAAGTGGCACCACACAGGAGAAGCCTTAGAGCTGAAGACAGGAAAGAGGAAAGTTGTAGGAAAGGTGTAAGTCAGAATCGGGAAAACTGTCCAGAAGGCTGGCCTCAAACTCAGAGTTCATCTGCCTCTGCATCCCAAGTGCTGGGATTAAAGGCGTCTACTACCATGCTGCCTAAGAAAAATAAAATGTTAACATTATTTTTGAGGTGAGAATTAAATAAAGAGCCCAGGAATATATAGTCAAAATATATCGTCCTAAAATAAGGACTGAGAAGATTTAACATTGACAAGAGAGGGCCTGGAGAGGAAGGATGCTGATGGTGAGTCCAGATGACCCAAGGCTGTGACAGCAAGCCTGAGAAAAAGTCAAGGTACCAAGAAGAACAAAAGAGAATTCAGAAAACCTTTCCTGAAATTGCTAGTGGACTCATAGTGAAGTATGTGCTATTTTCTGAGAAGATTAACCTAGAGTACCCGATGCTTGAGACCATTTCTGAAAGAAAAAAAACACCTTGGGGAAAAAACTCCTCTGGGCACCCAGGCTAAATGAATAGGCCCT